GGTATGTCAAGCAAATACACATGATAAGAAATTTTATGTTTTTTTTTTTTTTTTTTTTTTTTTTTAAATTTAAAACTATTTTTGCACTAAGCACGTACTGTCCATACAACTAACTTATAATATTTTATTATATATATATTTTTAAAAAAGTTGAAACTAATTCTAAGGGCATGTTTTTGGATCAATTTTTGAGGTGCTAAGTAGGAGAGAGAAGAAATGAAAAAGATGAAAAAAAAAACTACTGTAATGCGCCCAGCAGGCGCGTGCATTGCATGCGCACGGCTGGGCAATATGTTGCCTTTCACGCGAGATTTTTCCCGTTGCTTTTCAATTTGGTGGGGCCCATGATCATAGACAAAAAATCCCTCATTGAAGGAGGTCCTCGATCACATGTTCTCTCTCTTCACTCTCTCACCGTCACATCACTCAAATTTTCTCAAAAACCACACTAAAATCTATTAATGTGGATGACCTAATGAGGAGAGGCTAGTATGAAATATGCAGTCCCAGCTTCAACCTCCCAACGCTCCAAACATAGCTTCACCAGCATGGCGTCCCGGTCAATCATTGTAAGTTATGTTCAACATCTATTTAACATGTTATGATAGATTTTTTAACCTTTTTGGTTAAATCGATATATGCATGTTAACATATATAACATTGTTTAATAAATTGTACGTTTTTGTATAAGTTTATGGATTGCAACATGTTTATTAAACATGTTATGTTCATGTTAAAGAGATATTTTGCGATACATGTCTCAACACAACATACTTTAAATAATTGAATTGGGACAATAGGTTAAGGAACATTTGGTTTAAGTTATGTGTTCAAAATCACATATTAGTCTTGTTTAATTTGGTTTGGAAAAGTGCGAGATTCTAAAAAGTAATGTGATATTTTTAAGAATGATTTTGTTATTAGTATTATATATTAATATTAATTTATTTTCACATTCTTTGATATCACATTCCGATCCTTTCAATGACTACAAGTTCTTTAATTCAAGTTTTTTTTATTATCCGATGGCGCCTTTATTGTGTTTTACCTCTTTTAATGTGCGTCTGTATATATTTCACAATTGTAAAATTATCTGTGTAAGCCCGTTATGAATGGTCCGTATGATCCTAGATACAGAGATTTTGGCTTACCAATTGATCCTTAATTACCGTAGAGTCTTGGTATTAAATCCACGTTTCTTAAGTGTTAATAATTTTATTTGTATATTTTTAAATTACCTCGATGTAGGGGTAAAAGACTCAAACAGGTAGTAGAAGTGGGCCCGAAACATAAAAGTAGTAGAGAGTCAGCGATGAAAAATTGAAGCAGTGGAGGGTTAGCAATGGTGGATCGAAGCAACGAAGAGTTGAAAAGGAAGATCGAAGCAATAGAGAGTTGATAGTGGATGATCGAAGAAGTAGAGAATCGACAATAACGAGACGGCCGCACGATCGTTGCACGGTAGGAGTCCGATATATATATATATATATATATATATATATATATATATATATATATGAAATTCTAGAAGAGGAAAGAAAAACTTGTGTATTTAAAATTCAGAATGGATTTGCCTTGATTTCTTTTGCATACTACACCAGCTATTGCAATAGATTAACAAATTCCCTACAAAGTAGCCACCAATGAATTACAATAGCCATACACATTAAAACAATTTTCCTAATCTACCACTACTTCATACTTGGTTTATCAACTAATACAATAATTATAATCAGAAAAAAAAAGCTACTGTAACGTGCCTGACTGTAAAAGGTTAAATTGATATATGCATGTTATAACATTGTTTAATAAATTGTTTTTGTATAAGTTTATGGATTGTAACATGTTCATTAAACATGTTATGTTCATGTCAAAGAGATATTTTGCGATACATATGTCTCAACACAACATGAATGCATGTAATTAATATGACATGACCTACTTTAAATAAGTTAATTGGGATAATAGATTAAGGAACATTTGGTTTAAGTTATGTGTTCAAAATCTCATATTAGTTTTGTCTAATTTGGTTTGTAAAAGTGCGAGATCCTAAAATGTAATGTGAGATTTTTAAGAATGATTTTGTTATTAATATTATATTTATATTTATTTTCACATTCTTTGATATCACATTCCGATCCTTTCAATGACTATACAATGCAAGTTATTTAATTCAAGTTTTTACTATTACTATTACTATTACTATTACTATTACCTCGGCGTAGGGGTAAAAGACTCAAATAGGTAGTAGAAGTGGGCTCACAACGCAAAGGTAGTAGAGAGTCGGCGATGAAAAATTGAAGTAATGGAGAGTTAGTGATGCTGAATCAAAGCAACGAAGATTTGAAAAGGAAGATAAAAGCAATAGAGAGCCGATAGTGGGAAATAGAAGAAGCAGAGAATCTATGATGAAAGATCGACGAAGTAGAGAAATGACGATGAGAAGGCCACACGATCGTCGCACGGGAGGGGTGCATCATGAGACGACAACACGACGTCTGTCGCACGTGATGAGTCTGCTGGATCTAATCAAGAATGGAAGATCAAAGTTGCGATGAGTTATTAATGGAAGATCAAAGCAATAGAGACCATCATCGGAGCGACGGAGAGTCGCCGATGAAAATCAAAGCGGTGGTGAGTCGGTTAGGAATATTGAAATAGCATTTAATTGACGACAGAGTTTGATGCAAATTAATGTACGGTGATGGGTTGACGGCACGATCTCGTTGAGGAGAGAGCGAGAGATAAGTAAGGTATGAAATTCAGGTAATGACTTAAAATGAAAAGTGAGATACCTAAATAGGTTGAGACCTAGGGTTTAAGGAGATAATGAGGATATGGGTCACACAAACAATAGTCCAATTTGGAGATATTCTTTTATTGGTGTAGTAGTTTTTCGTTGGTCCGAGAATTAATTTCACCATTTAAGAGTCTAACTGGAGGCCCACATATTTAATGCAATTAAATTATCCAAATCCTTTGCTTTCGGATAACATTGACACATTTCTATAATTTGAGTATATCTCTATCATATGTAGGGATGCGAATTGGTCAATCATATCGGTTTTAAGCCAACCCTGTTTTATGCATTAATTTTATGCAACATACTGATTGTCAGCCATTAGAAAGTCTATGAGCCTGGATGTTTTTCCACCAATAATCTTCTCCAGAGGAGCATAAATCTCAACTACTCTGCCGATTACATATTTAAATACACAAAATATATCAAGAAAAATCCTAGATATTAAATGGACAAAAAAATGAAAGATAAATAAAATAAATAAAAGTACTAACCAAACAACCGTTTATCATTAACTTCAACATGATTTTTCAAAGATTCATAACTCTTTAAACGAAGCATAAACATAGGAAATCCTTTGGATTTAATCTCTTTCACCTCAGTTTTATAATTCAACTTTATAAGATAACGGTGGTCATTAGTTTTATACATTTAATAGTTGTTCACAACAAAAAACTAAAGTTCTTAATAGAATACAGCATGCCCCGGGAAAACATGTTTGTATTTCAAAACATCATCCTTTTGCATATTAACATGAATATATGTTCCCTGTTTGTAAGAGGAGACAGAAAACAAAAAATTAGGCAGTTCAAAATTGGTTGGAAGATTAAACAGTGAGCAATGTAAAAAAAAAAAGGATTTACCTTTTGATCGTGAAACAAACATTCTCTACTCTTAATTATTGGATCTCCTCCCACTTCCGGGACTTCTTCTTACTAACCTCACTCGGATTGCTCTCCCAGTAATTTGGAAGTGCAGATTGAATATCAACAAAGCTTTATATAGAGGCTAAAGAGTGTCTTGGAAATATGAAAACTGAACAAAACGTCTCTTAATCCAATATTACATTCATTATGCTTGTGTTCGAATCATTTCAAATTCAATTAGATGTATCTTTGGTTACTTGCAAGGTTATTTATTACATAGATTGCAGGTTGGCTTCTCGATGTAATTAATAATATCTAATGAATATTCTCTTTAATTAGGCGGCTAATATTTACATTGGTGATAGACAAAATTAAAAAAATGTGATATTCCAACACAAAATCTAGCCGGATATCTAATGAATATTCTCTTTAATTAGGCGGCTAATATTTACATTGGTGATAGACAAAATTAAAAAAATGTGATATTCCAACACAAAATCTAGCCGGCAAAACCACAGAGGGCAATGTGAACAACATTTAATTCGGACTGATTTATATCACATATCAAAACGGTAGCATTTTGTTAAGGCGGAGAAAATCAACCAACAAGTTTTTGCTTTATAATGATAATGATATATAGATGATAGATTAATTTATTTTCACATTCAATTCTTTGATATCATATCCCTATCCTTTCAATGACTACAAGTTCTTTAATTCAAGTTTTTATTATCCGGTGGTGCCTTCAATGTGTTTTACCTCTTTTAAATTAAAGTGCATGTGTATATATTTCACAATTGTAATAGTATCTTGTGTAGACCCGTTATGAATAGTCCATATGATCCTAGATACAGGGATTTTGGCTTACCAATACATCCTTACCTCATAGCCTTGGTATTAAATCCAAGTTTGTTAAGTGGTAATAATTTTATTTGTATATTTTAAAATTACCTCGGTGTAAGGGTAAAAGGCTCAAACAGGTAGGAAGAAGCAGAGAATTTGTGATGAAAGATCGAAGAAGTAGAGAATCGGCATTAATAAGATGATTGCACGATCGACGCACGGGAGGAATCCGCTCAAAATTCTATATATATAAAGGAAATTCAAGAAGAGAAAAGAAAAACTTGTGTATTTAAAATTCAGAATGGATTTGGCTTATTCCTTTAGCATACTACACCAGCTATTGCAATAGATTAACAAATTCCCTACAAATTAGCCACTAATGAATTACAATAGCCATACACATTAAAATAATTTTCCTAATCTACTAGTTTTGCCCAAATCATCCGCTAACTAAATCATATAATACAATAATTATAACATTCAAAGGGTTTTCACCAATTAGCACTGGCAACATTCTTGAAAACCTCCTCAACCCTCTCCTCGCCGCTGTGTGCCTGGATCTCCTCATCTAAATTTTTAATCGCAGCACTCACCTTTGACACCTTGTACAAGAGATCTTTCATCTCCGCTTCAGCTATGGCTTTTTCTTTCTCCTTTCCGGCAACAATTTCGGCGGCCTCGCACATCCTAATCAGCTCGCTTATCCTGCCGCGCAAGAACCCCACTTCCATGCCGAAATTCCCCACCCCTATCAGAGTTGTATCCCATACTTCCAAAACATCACGGCCCGTTGCGAGCGTGGCAGCTTTGATGCCATCGGCGATTTTCACAGTTTCTGTTATTGCCCCGGCGATTAGCGTGTAGTTCAATCCAGGCTCTTCAAGCTCATGAAGATACGCGTTTTGACTACGGCACAGCTCGTAGTACTTGAGCCTGGTATCTTCGGAGATCTTAGAATCTATGTTTATGTTGTTGACAACAACCTTAAAATCCTCGAAGTTTTTCACCTGTGAAAACTCAACCACATTCTCTGCAGATAAGTGGTCTGAGGTAGAGACTTCTCTCTCCAGATTCTCACCTTCATGCTCTATTCTGGTTAACTGATCTGGAGCATCTTCAATTCTCAGAACATTTTCCTCAATATCATCACCTTCCAGCAGTAAACCCTCTGGAATAACAGAAAAAGTTATGCATATATGCTTCATCAGTCCTAATGAATATTATATATGTTGGTTTGTCTAAGTTGGCATAGTTTGGTTGGATTGATGGATGAATAACTAGAAATTGTTAGTGAATCAGTGCCTAATATAAAGCTATTGATGAGATATAAAATATACAATACATTCTTCAGAATAATACCAATATATCAGCCAATGACTTGACTGTCCCAAATAGGAAGTCATGTGCTTGAGTCTTAGTGGGGTGATATTAACTTTTTATAATAGATTTAGAAAGTAGATATGATGAACATATACTACATTTTAACAGAGTCAGTAGCACTCCCGTTGATGAGGCAATGTAACACAACTAACTGAGAGGACATCAATTAGGTTTTTTGTAGACTTTATTCAATTAATGGAAAAGAAACAAGGAAAACATACATACCAGTTTCAATTGGGTGTGCATAAGGACTTAAATCCAGAAGGCTGATAGCACCGGCAATATTTGCCGAGTCATTTGCCCGAACAATGTACACCTAAAACAAGGAAAAGGAGTAAAAATGAGGCCAATTCTTTGAAGGCTGAAGATAAGTTGAAAAACTAGGACACCGATAGGCTATGGAGGGTGGATCGATGGGGTTACCTTAAGCTTGAGAGGTTGGATCAGCTGAAAAACTACAACATCCCCGGGAACCAAGTTGTGTTGGAGGGAAAATCCTCTCCATCCACCACTCAGGCCATGCTTCTCAATAAGGTACTTGCTCTCTGTTTCTCTTCCATTTTCATCCACCAAAATAATGGCAGTATCATGGTTTGGCAGATGAGAAGTGCAGAAATCTTTTGGCAGACCCTATCAGATCATTATATTATATTTGAGAATGATGGCACAGTGATAATCATTCTTAGATTACTTTATTAAACCTAATTAACACCAAAGAGATATGATTATGTGGACTTACCAACCAAAATCCCCTAGCAGTATGAGAATGGAGCAAGAACTTCACTACACTAGGAAATTGAGGTGAAAGATTTGCTTGAAGTTCTCGAGCTCTCCTCATAGCTATGGAGTTTTCATCAACACACCCATACTCCCTCCTAGAACCTTCACCTTTAGCCTGCTCAAATAGTGCCAAGAAACTGAAATTAACCAATTTAACCTTAAATCCCATCATTCCACAGTAGTAAGCTAAGGTAGTAAGAGGAAGTGTAGTGCAAGCAGGAGTATTCAGTCTTATTTTATGCATCAAACTTCAAAATTAAACAACAATGGCATGTATGTATGTTTACCTGAACCTTCTTGGGAGTAGGAGACCTTCTCCTGATCACCTTCTTATTGGCCGCCAATGGATTCATCTTCTTAAACTATCAAAAAAGACCTTTTGGTTGGTAATCATAAGATTACAAGTTAATCAGATTACTATTTTGTTTTTTTGAGATGCAAAGATAAGTATTATTTGGTTCATATAATAATAAATATTAAGAAAACTTCCTAAAATGACATGTCAATATGTTGAGAGTTTGGATAGATATTTTAGGTTGAAGAGTAAAATTATATTGGTGAACATCATTAAAATTTAAAATTTTTGATTAAAATTATTACAATATGCAAAGGTTTGATTTTTAAATTTTGTTCATTTTTTTTTTACAGTAATGTATACAGACATTCAGAAATGAAGCCTTAGCAAAATACTTCATCAATTAGAAGCTAAGATACTTCAAACAAAAGAGGCTCTCTAGTAGAACATTTGATCAAACAAATGAAGCCTTAGCAAAATACTTGCTCATTCTTTAGCTTCAGCCGCCTTCTCACAGGCTAGTTCGATGTTTTGGGACTCTGTCCCTCCTGACTCTATTGCTTATTTGCTTCATTAATATACGCCTTTATGGTTGCTTTAAAAAAATCATTACTTCCTAATTTAATTTTACTTCTATTACATTATTATTATTATTATTATTATTATTATTATTATTATTATTATTATTATTATTATTATTATTATTATTATATTCAGTATTAAATTATATATATTATTACGCCCTAATATATATTTAAATAAAACAGCTAACAAATAGCCCATCACGACAACCCTAAAGCCACCCCCGGCCGAACTCACTGACGAAAACCACCCAACAAAAAACCAACTCCACCGAAGACAACACAACCCAAAAACACACATGCAATATCCCCAAAAGAGGCAATCCGAAACCGAGCACATCTCGATCACAAAAGAAATCACCAGAGCGGGCCCTCACACCCCTCACAAACACTGAAACAGACTACGAAAATTTAAAAAAAAAAAAAACCCTGCAAAAGCCACTAAACCGCCGACAATCCCAACCCTACTCCCCCCCCCCCCCCCACCCCCGCCGCCGAACACACAATCCACATACCCACTCCCCCCGAAAACACACCCGCCGGCAGAGAAAACATACCATAACCACACACGCAGACACAGAAACCTACAATTCTTAAAACAAATAAAACACCAAAAAAAGAACAACAATCGATCGAGTGGATACCTGGTGTAGAACTGGAAGAGCTCCCTCTCAGTCGTTTAGATGCCCTAGAGCTTGAACCCACTATGAGAAACACAAAGAGAGACCGTCGTAAACCCTGCTATCGGACGGACAACCCAAAGCGACTGAACGGATGGTGAGACCAAACGGGTAGCAGAAGAGTTCTCTCGGCGAACGAAACAGCGAAGTGTAAAACAAAACGATGAGAATGGTAAACCGGCAAAAGATACCTAATAACAATAAATATATACCAAAAAATCCACAAATCTAAATAATTAACAAAAATAAAATAACGCACAAAAGACAGTAGAGCCCCTTCCCCATTCAAAAGCACACTGAACTAAAATACAATAGGCCAATTTGTAACGTTAATAAAATCTAAATAAACGGTAGAGATTAGTGCTCATTAGCTCACCTAATTAGGGGGTGCATTGGATTCAATATATATATATATATATATATATATATATATATATATATATATATATATATATATATATATATATATATATTTCCCGATGATCATCATTATCTTTCTAAACCTACTTACCATTCTAACTCCTAATCCTAATATATAAGCATATACGTACACACTGGAAGATCGAAGAAGTGTGAATCTGTGATGAAAGATTGAAGAAGTAGAGAATCGACGATGAGACGGCTGCACGGTCATTGCACGGAAGGGGTGCATTATGAGTCGGCAGTACGACAGCAGTGGAGATTTAGCGATGGTGGATCAAAGCAGCGAAGATTACAAGTTCTGGGGATTCACCCTTCCCTTTGTTCAAAAAAAATAAAAAAAAAATAAATAAAATGATTACAAGTTCTTTAATTCAAAATTATAAAATTAACAAAATATGTATTCATAAATATTTATAAATGTTTTTAAATACATACATTCATATACTTATTCACTATATATATATATATATATATATATATATATATATATATATATATTAATCATACAAAATTTAAATGCTAATCTTTTGGCAGACCTATCAGATCATTATATTATATTTGAGAATGATGGCACAGTGATAATCATTCTTAGATTACTTTATTAAACCTAATTAACACCAAAGAGATATGATTATGTGGACTTACCAACCAAAATCCCCTAGCAGTATGAGAATGGAGCAAGAACTTCACTACACTAGGAAATTGAGGTGAAAGATTTGCTTGAAGTTCTCGAGCTCTCCTCAGAGCTAAGGAGTTTTCATCAACACACCCATACTCCCTCCTAGAACCTTCACCTTTAGCCTGCTCAATCAAATAGTGCGGGCCAAGTAAGCAGGAAGTTGCAGAACCTCAAATGAATCAATTTGGCACAAGGAATACAACATGAACAGTCATTATATTAGCCAAAACATATATACAGTCTCAAAATATCTTATTTCGTCAAAGTAAGTTGTGTTATTAACTCAATTAGAACCAACACTAATCCCATCATTCCTCAATAGTAAGCTAATAAGGTAGTAAGAGGAAGTGTAGTGCAAGCAGGGGTATTCAGTCTTATTTTATGCATCAAACTTCAAAATTAAACAACAATGGCATGTATGCATGTTTACCTGAACCTTCTTGGGAGTAGGAGACCTTCTCTTGATCACCTTCTTATTGGCAGCCAATGGATTCATCTTCTTAAACTATCATAAAAGACCTTTCGGTTGATAATCATAAGATTACAAGTTAATCAGATAAGTATTTTGTTTTTTTTGAGATGCAAAGATAAGTATTATTTGGTTCATATAATAATAAATATTAAGAAAACTTCCTAAAATGACATGTCAATATGTTGAGAGTTTGGATAGATATTTTAGGTTGAAGAGTAAAATTATATTGGTGAACATCATTAAAATTTAAAAATTTTGATTAAAATTATTACAATATGCAAAGGTTTGATTTTTAAATTTTGTTCATTTTTTTTTTTTTTACAGTAATGTATACAGACATTCAGAAATGAAGCCTTAGCAAAATACTTTATCAATTAGAAGCTAAGATACTTCAAACAAAAGATGCTCTCTAGTAGAACATTTGATCAAACAAAAGAGAGCATAATCATAATAAAATGTCACAACAGAAGAGAAAATCTTCTAGAAGAAAAGTCTAATTTAAGCATAAGACTTAATCAACCAGAAAAGACTCTTTGGTAGAAAATCCAAGCAAGCAAAAGAACAATCTACCATAAGAGTTAGAAAACTAGAAGAAACAAACTATATCATAAGAAGCTAAAATGTTAAGATCAAAATGTTATACTTTCAGAAGAGACATAACAATTCATATAATGATGAACAAAATAATGTCGTTTGAAGAAGTCAAAACATTCGCAGGATACTTTCTCTTCCAATAGGTTGAACCCCAACCCGAAGGGCCCCCCACAGCATTTGGGATGAACCACAGAGACTAAATCCCTCACTTTGAGAAGTTGCTCACTGTGCACAAGGAACCCCCCTCACTTATTCCCCCTCACTTTGAGAAGTTGCTCCCACACTGCCGCTGGTGAGACTCGATCCCTGGTCATTCTTCCAAAGTTTCACCTCTATGACCAATTGAGCTACCCATGCGGGCTCATAGGATACTTTCTCAACAAGAGATGTTGAATACAGAGAAATGAAGAATTCCTCCAATTAAACACACTTATAGAGTTTTTATGTGTTCAAATTGAAATATTCTCCAAATTGAAAATATGGAAACAAAATTTCACATTTTCAACATTGATATTGAAGTTGGAAAATAGCTACAATTTCTTTTTCAAGAAGGAAAAACAATTCACTATCCATCACATGCACATAACACTCATGTAAAATTGTTCTTAATTATCTTACTAAAGAAAGAGATTGTTAGAAAGTTTTTAAGCACCTACAATGATTGAAGACATCACATAATTTCTCATTCGTGGACCATAAAAAACTCCGTTTTTAATATATTAAAAGTACATTATTTGTGTACTGAATGTACATTATACAAAATAATGTACTTTCAATACTCAAATAATTTATTTTCTCTAAATACAAGGTACATTTTTAATATACTAAAAGTACATTATTCGTGTATTCAATGTACATTATTTAATAGTATACAAAATAATGTACTTTCAGTACTCAAACAATATATTTTCAAATAATGTACTTTTTATTTATGTTCCACACAATTATTTGAACTATGATCCACATATTAATGATTGATATATTTCATTGGCCCAAGAATTAATTTCACCATTTAAGGAGTCAAAGTGGAAGCCCACATGTTTAATGCAATCAAATTATCCAAATCCTTAACTTTCGGATAACATTGACACATCTCTCTCTCTCTCTCTCTCTATATATATATATATATATATATATATATATATATATATATATATATATATATATATATATATAGGGACGCACTCAGGTGCGAATAAGTGCCCAGGAAGGAAATGCGAACGAATCAGCGCGTGACACGTGTCCAGATCTAATAACTTAAAAAAAAAATGCGGTGGCATTTTCGTAAATAATTGAACATCGAAGTGCAAGTAAAATCTCTTATAAGTGCACCTATTTTCGCCTATAAGTGCATGTAATTTTGCCTTGTTAGCATTCACTTTCCGCAACCATTCATGCACTTGGGTGTGCTTATAACTATATGTGCAACTATTTATAACTATAGGTGCAACTACTTATAACTATATGTGCACCTACTTTCACCTATAAGTGCATGTAATTTTGTCTTGTTAACATTCATTGATCTGAGTTCAGCGGGTAGTAATACTCTTGAAAACCACTCGCAAACATTCATACACCTAGATGCAACCACTTATACCTATGTGTGCAACTACTTAGAACTATAGGTGCAACTA